CTCGTATTTCTGACACCAGATTCCCTCTAAGTGTAGTCTTGTTTGCCATGACGCAGTAATTAGAGAAAGAATGGGGAGAGTGCAACAAACAAGCCTGGTATTGAGAGTATTGGTGAGAGTGGTGGGCCCACCGTTATGGGCCATGATCACGGACTGTTTGTCAATGAGCGCTACCTAAGGCTATAGACATGTGGGTCTCTATGCGATGGGATCGGACGCCCCTGTAAGTTCCAGTGTCGGCCTTGGTGCACCATTGCAATTCTCCTCCTGGGTTTTCGACATTGCCAACGTTGGACGAGCCTGCCTGGTCAGAAAGAATCTGGCAGCCACAACCGACTTGGCTATGTGCTATCTTGAGGATCAGGGCGACAAGCTACTGTACCACATCACCGTCTCCGTTGCAATTCTGGAGGACGAATCTTCGGTACGAATAGGCCGACTTGGCTCATACGAGATAGTCGGTGAGGAATGGTCCGGTTGGGTAACGAACCACGAATACTGCCCACAACCAATGTCCCAAGTCCCGTTTTTAGCCATCGCGTTGCTCTCACCGCCCGCATGACCACCTTTTGATAAATGTCAATCATAACATGAGGGGAAAAGATCATGTCTTCCGTGAGCTTACAGTGACTCTGAGCTATTTCCTGGTACGTCCTCGAGCAGCTCTTGGAACATGAACCAGAGACAAAACCCTTGTGTGGCGTCCATTTGAGGTCCACTTCGTAGTCTTTGTAGGTATTCGGAGTGACCGGCGGGCTGCGTTCCTCCATTTCTGGCTGCTGTCTGTTGCCGTTGATATCCACCTTCCAACTCAAAGCATTTGCTTCGTCCCGTTCTTGCTGGTTACAGAATTCAGATACAACATTGTAGTCCCGACCGTAAAATACGTCCCATTGAAGACCACTCGGATGTAACAAGTCACAGTTGAGTTGACCAAGCACAGTGTGAACCATCAAGAGAGTGTTGACAACCAACGCGGTGAAGACATGGTTCCGAAAAGTTGTCATTTTCGCTGAAGACAATGATTATCAAGGTGAGAGCGACGCACGATCCAGCCGAGGAGATGTTTACATATATACTGTATAGTAGGAGCCAACGAAGACGCTTTTATCTATCCAGTGTGCTTAAACGGCAAGAATATCTTTTACACTTTCGGGCCTAAACTTGCTTCATACTCATCATTGTGTGGTGCCACGGTCAGATGCTCGATCTCAGGGTCTCCGCTAGTAATGGAGCGCTCATCTCGACACTCAGAACAGCTAGCTGTGCCGGTAATCAGTCGTTAACTTAGGAAGCGATCATGTGTGTAAGCCAGTTTCGGCGTTGCCTTAACCAGACAGCGCAACATCTGGCTACGGTCGAACCCCACGTCTGAGTTCGAATAGATGTCCCCGGATCAACTGCGATGTGAAGCCGTTTTCTGTTCTCTTAGAAGCCCTGTTTTTTGTTTTGTGTGGAGCTGAAGAGACGACACCGCGGCGACGAGACCTTCCAGAGAAACCTATGTCAACCGAACGACATAGTTTAAGCATCATGTGGGCTGTTCATGGGTGTTACGCCTGGGCTGGTTCTAGAGGCAAAGTTACTGGCGGCCGCTTACCAGCCATTCTTGCAGCAAATGGAGGTAAAATGAGCGCATCAGCGTTAGGGAACGCGACGTTGTTCAAAGTTCAAAATCGAATCTCGATGGGGCCATAAGTTGGTGTTATGTACAGTACTGTAACGAGGCACCGTTCGTCCTACGAATGCGTTGTGATAAGCCTAGTATTGGGCGGCTTTTGTGACTCTTTGGCCCGAGTTTGTCTAGGAGCGGGGTTGGCTGTGCTGCAATTACCCCGCGATTTGTGGCTGTGCACTCTTCACATCGCCATGCCCTTCCCCAGATCTGCCCTTTCGAACTGCTGCTTCTTCGCCCCTTGGCCTGCTTTTGATATTGCTTGTTGTGCCCTTTCGATTCCTGTATATATTTTTTACTGATCTTTCGATCTTCTTACTCACTCACCGTGCCATCGCTCTCGACGAGGTTAGCGGTGCCATATTGACCGTGCTCGGTCAGTCAGACAGAACATTTTCGGAATCTCTCTTAGTCATCCACATGACACGTACTCCGTACAGGTATTCTTGCCGCCATCGCCGCCGCCCGCTGCCCCGGCCCCGGCTTGGGTTTGACGACGGAACTGCAGAGCGAGAGTCTGGAAAAAGCGGACCTGTTGCCGCATCGGATCGCGAAACCCGGACTTGACTACTGTCGGGCTAGCCATCAACCCCAAGCTGCCTTGCATATCTGCGTCAGGCTGCGGTTTTCGCCTACGGTCGTCGTCCCAATCGTCCCAAGGCAGTCCTAGTGCTGCGATCTCGACTGTACAAACCTGCCTCGCGAGACAAAGCTGTTTCGACACGCACACGTTCGAAAAACCGACGTTGGCGCGTGCATTCTATCTGCATGCGCTTGAACTTGGCTTTGGCATATGGCATGAAGAGGCTTGCAAGCTTGGCGTACCCCGAAGTCTTTGGACGGGGGTTGAGCGCGTTTCGGTGCTATCAAAGCAAGCAAGGCCACTTGCACCGCTTCGATGAAGCGCACTCCAGCGGCACAGAGCCGAAAAAGACTCCGTGTTTGCCCGTTCGAGTCGTAGTGGAGGCGCTAAGCTGAGCTGCTTCAATGATTGGCCCGGCTCATACTCCAAACGTGGTGCCAGGGGGGGACGCGACCGAGGAGAGCAAAGAGAACGCCGCCTGACCCACAAGACGTACATACACACACACACACACACACACAGTGTTTATTACGCCCTGGCTAAGCCATACTACGGTATCGGGCCAAAGTTTAACCCCCTAGGCAAGTACCAGTGGGTCAGACAATCCGCCCTTGCTGGCCAATCAGATCGCCCAGATCCAGCACAGATACCCACTTATCGCCAGCAGCCAATTTTTCCCTTTTTCCCTCATACAACAACCACCTTTTCTACCGATCGTCAATATGGTACGCCCAACAGGCAGTACGACTAAGCACCTTACTGAGGCCGACCGGCAGCGAATACGTACCCTTTATAACGATGCGAAGTTATCGCAGCCAGATATCGCCAATCTTACTGGTTATACGAAGCATCAAGTGCGTACAGCTATACGGGCTGAATCGGCTGCCGTTGCTGCCCGCTCCGGCCGGCCTCGGGTTATGACTGCCCAACAAGAACAAGAGCTTGTTGAGTATGTTACCTCATCAAAGGAGGGCCGCCGGGCCTCGTTTCTCCGGCTCTCTCTACTGCTTTTCTCGTCCCTATTTGGCGCTTACGCTATTCGAGCAGCTCTCCGACGCCTCGGCTTCAGCAGGCGCGCCGCCCGGCGGAAACCCCCTATCTCAGAAACCAACCGGCAAAAGCGCCTCGCTTGGGCTCACGAGCATCTTCATTGGACCGTCGACGACTGGAGGAAAGTTCTCTGGACGGACGAGACATGGATCACGGGCGGCCATCACAGGAAGCTCTATGTTACCCGGCGCCGGGGCGAAGAATGGGATCCAACGTGTATTATCGAGAGGCATCAACGCAAGCGGGGTTGGATGTTTTGGGGATGTTTCTCCGGGGATCGGAAAGGACCTGGCATCTTCTGGGAGAAGGATTGGGGCACTATAAAGGCTGATTCGTACCAGAATCGCCTTATCCCTGTCATCGGCGGCTGGATTGACTTATGCAAGGGTTATCATCGCGATAACCTCATTCTTATGCAAGATGGCGCTCCTGCACATGCTGCCTCGTCGACAACACAGGACCTTCATGAACGAGGCGTCCATGTTATTTATTGGCCACCTTTTTCTCCTGACCTTAACCCTATTGAAAGCTGCTGGAACTGGATAAAGGACTATATACAAGAGCAGGCCGGCGTTAACGAGAACCCATCATACGATCTACTTCGCCGATGGGTTAAAGAGGCCTGGGATGCGCTGCCAGAGGACTTCTTATATGACCTCCTGGCAACAATGCCTAAGCGTTGCCAGGCAGTGATTGATGCCAACGGTATGCATATCAAGTACTGATTTATCTATAGAAATCAATTGATTTAGATGATATCTGCTTATGTCAGCCATTTTACCCCCTTGTCTGTGGACCGATACCAGACCGCAGGGTTAAACTTACCCATACCACCATAGTAAAGGGGTCTTGTACATTGCTCCCCTTGTTGGATTATGAATATGACCCTGGTCTTAAAATAAGCCCATGTCTAAGATCCACTTCCATCTGCGTCATCTTTGATTATTCCTTCCAACGATTGCGATTTCCCGTGAAGGTTAGTAGCAGGCCCTCTTGGAGCACTTCCTCCAAGTGTTCAGGTCCTTATCTTCGGCGGCTGAAGCGAGTCCTGCTGTTGGTGGCACGAGGGTGCGTGAGGGGTCAATCGGTAGTTGGTGTTGGTGATGTGATGTTGTGTTATTCTTGTCCTGCGTTTGGTTGACCTGCATATCGAGTCGTCCTGTTGCCACAACAGGCGAGCTTTGGCGATGCCTGGCTTAATTTTGTCACAGAGGACGGCAGTGATTGCCGATCGCAGCAATTGGTCTGCGCAGCACCCATTAGGAACCATAATGTCGATCGTTGACAGTGAGTAGATTCGCCGGTGGTGACAGTCCACCTTACTCCAGAAGTTAACAACGAATGGTCATCCAAGACATAACTATGCCCGCTTCCTCTTGAGGGTCGCAGTCAATGCAGTCAATATCGCGCACTTTTTCCGATGGCGATGAGCTTAGAACTGGGATGTCAGTGGATGTGCACGGAAGTACCTCACTGTACACTTTGGGTCTTTTGACATTGCCCTACAAACCCCTGGCTAATTAGCCCCGCTTCGCAAGTGATATTGTCAGCATGCACCTCGAACCGCCTTGCGAGGCGCCCCGCCGCTGCCTACGAACAGCGCTTCCGACCGCCTACTAAAGGAAGAAAGGCCGCTGAGGGGAACACGGTAATCGACCCTTCGCCAACAACTCGTTACAGCAGCACTCAACGATGGAGCCTGCTGGTTTCGCTGTTGGCGTCGTCAAGCTCGCTGGTCTCTTCAGTTCCTGTCTAGAGGCCATTGACAAGGTGCAATCGCACCGTTCAGCCCGGGCTGATGCAGACGTGCAATATACCATTTTCAATGCCGCCAGAGCCCGTTTCGAGCAGTGGGGACGAGGCGTAGGGATCGATCAAGGGAGACTGCTGGACGATCATCACGCCGCGCTGGACAACGGAGGCATATCGACAGCTGTGTGCGGCCTTTTGCGCTTCATCATGAAATTCATGTGCGACGAGGCATGGGCTTTCTGGGGCAAGGAGGAACTCACAGAGAAGATCAATCTGTTCGAGAACATAGTACAGGAATTGCATAACCTTGTGCCGCCACGAACTGCACAGGGTGCGCGGCAGATACACAACCCGGACCTTGGGCTGACAGACACTCACACGGATGTGTTAGGTAAGATTTCCAAGTATTATTGAGGCTCTTCTCTAACTGGGACAAGGGACTTTCTCAAGCAACGGGTTATCTGCCGAGGTGCTGCAGATTCTGGTACGAATCAAAGGAGTAGTCAGAGGTAAGGCCGCGCTTGTATTTTCGAGGCCAGGACTAACGCTACCAAGCTGAGACACGACGAGAAATTCACTCGTGGCTTGTTCAACGCCTCCCGAACGACCGCTACCACGACTCCCTTCAACGGAGACTGGTGGGTACCGGCGACTGGTTTTTCTCGCGACCAGCGTTCACACGATGGCTCTCCCCAGAGCCAGATACAAACGCGAAGCTGCTGTGGATCAACGGGCCGCCGGGATTCGGGAAAACGATCCTCTGCGCCCGCATCGTCGAGCACCTGTCTTCCACACCCCAAACGCCCGTCGCCCACTACTTCTTCTCCTTTGATCTCGAGACCCGTGATGACCCTTTTTCGATCATACGAGCATGGATCTCTCAGATTGTGTCTCGCCATGATGATGCGTTCGAATACGTCCGTCAAAGGTGGGAAGCGGACTCCGATCCCGTTCTGACGCATGCCACTACCCTGGCGATCTTCAAGCGACTCTTCCACATTGTTCCTGACTGCATCTGCGTGGCTGATGGACTGGAGGAGTGTGTCTCTTCGGACAAAGGAAACACCTCGCTCACGGCGTTCTTTCGATCTGTTGCAGATGCCATTTCTGGAACAAACACTAGGATCCTTCTAGTAAGCCGCGACGAACAAAAGATCCGATCTGCTGTCACAGACAACGCCCTCGACATCATCACTGAGTACAAGATATCTTCTGACGACGTGCGGCCAGACACGACTGCTGTTGCACAGGAGATCGTCGACAGGAAGCTACCTAACAAAGGCTATGATGTGCGGTCAACTCTCTCCGAAGCAATGGCCATTCGATGTGAAGGCCGGTTCCTCTGGCTTATGATGCAAGAGCCCACTCTAAGAAAAGGCATGAACACCAAACAACTGCAACAGACCATCAGTCACAGCCCGGCCGGACTCAATCATCCCTAATCTCGCCTGGACCAAAAACACGCAATATGGAGAGCTGGAAGAAGCCCGTGCCTTTGCCCTCCTGCGTTTGGCAGCATTCGCACTCCGGCCGCTTACTGTCTGCGAGATTACCGACGCTGCCCTCATCGACGATTCTGAAGACCTGCCGTTGGAGGATCTCCACGACGTCCCTAGATGTCGACTACATCGAAACCGAGATTGATGGTCTTTGCAGCCCTCTCTTGATGCTTCGAGCGAGTCGCCAGGCTCAGCCGTAGGGCATCAAACAGTGTGTTCAGCGCACTTTGCTGTCCGGGAATATCCTCTTCCCAACCTTCCCCCGCCAACCTGGTTAGGGCAAAACCAACGCCTGCAAGTCTCCTACGAGATATAACAGAACACATCTATTGAAGGCATGACTTCGTTATATCAGCTCACGAAGAACTTGGTACGGCAACCCCCTCAATTCATAATCCTCCATTGGTACAGTACTGTACACACACACACACACACACACACAATTCATTACGCCCGGCGCCGAAGCCGAAAGGACACCTAAACTGGTTACATATACATTGCTGAGCTTGTGTCCTTGTCTCCTCGAAGCCCATAAGTGATGTCTCCATTTCCTCCTTACTCCTCCATGTCTGCCGTCTCGCTTCGGATTCCCGTGGTTTGGTTGTATTTTTGGCATGCCATCTTGAAGCCTGCTATGTGTTCCTTGTACTTGAGTCGAAGACTTGCCGACTATGGATCGGCCAACTCAACTTCCAACCGACGTTTACCCTGAAGGGTCGGATGCAACATGGCCGATATGCAAAGTACTGGCTTATCACATGAACGGTTGATTAAGACCGTAGGCCAGGGAGGTGTGTCACAGGTACAGACCGCCCAGAGCTGGACAGCATGGGCCGCTTCCCGATTATGTCCCGTTCGTGTTATCTCCGTCCTGTTCTCCAGCGCACCCCCATTCATGGTTGGCCGGCATCCCGACTTGATGCCGGAAGTTTGCTCCACCTCCACTGTGATGTGGGGGAAGATGCAGCCATCCGCTATCACGTCCATGTTCATCTCTGTGCATGACATAGCGTGGTCTTGTCACGCACTGATGACGCCAGATTGGAACCTGAGAACATGGAAGCATGTTCTGAACCCAACCCGAGGGATTTAAACACTACAGCTGCGCGCTCTTGTTCCAGACATGATTCCTAGTTCTATGTTTCCAAGATAACGCAATGGCCTAAATGCAGCCGTATGAGACTGCATATCCCTATGGCGAGTCAGATGGGGATATTAAGCCGACTTTAGGCGCCCGCGTAGCTGCTTTCGCGAAATCCCAAGAACGAACCATTTTGGGGCGGTTACGGTGATTGTCAGCACCAGTTACATACCTGGAAAGTCCACATCGAGGCAGCAATCCCCTTTCGGATGCACCTGCAGTATACTGCTCGTGGGAGGGAGCACCTTCGGTTTTTCTCACTAATTTGGTCCCTAATGGAGCGTTGACTTATGTATGTAACACGGAAGACCGGAAACCGTTAAAATCCAGGACTGAGTTGTCCAAAACAAAAAAAAAACAAAAAAAAAAAAGCCTTTCCTTTTGGCCCACCGAGTTGGCTGGTTGCGGGTATATGTTTCATAGAGGTTTCGGTACCACTTACATGCAATAACCATCCTGCATAGCAAGAGGCAGCGACAGAAAGAACATTTTCACCTTTGCGAAGAAGGTATTAAAGTTACTGGCACCTGGAGTATTCGCATTCGTTGTCGAGAAGAAATCTTTAGTCCTAGATTTTGCGGCGCTACATGCATTCTTGAGCGTCTTGATAGTCTCAATTACGATAGACAGCTCCGAAAGTTTCTCCCAAAGCTGCATTGGCTGGACGTCAGTCGGCCCCCCTCAATACATAGAGAGCAAATTGGACTTGGGCGAAAAAAAAAATACCTTCTTTGAATAGGGAGCAAAGAATTTCCTTGCCTTCTTTATAGCGGCGGAAGCGACACGAATTCCTGCCCGAGCAACACTGCATACTGAGGGGAAGGAACCCATCGTCAGCCGCGGCCTTAATGATAGGATTTGGGGTGTTCGGCTGGAACCGACAAGGAGAATTGTCTACTCATCAGAGCAGAAAGCTTAGTTCCAGGGAGAGTGAAGAGTTAAAAATGAGGAAAGCTGAGCAGACTTGAGGTGGGGGGGGAGGATATGCAACATTTCGAAGGGTCTACCCTGCTGATATTCGCAGAAAACACCACTTTCAGATACCTGACCGTAACACTGCTCACTCGTCACGTCCAAGGAAGGCCTGCTAGTCCATCGACCAAGTGAAGGACAGCTTATATCAATTGAATCACGGGCTGCGCCACGACCTGGTTGTAGCATGACTCCCACCGTGAATACGGGCGAAATGTACGCCCGATAGCCCTGATCCCTGGATAACTTCGGCCCACACTCCATTGCCAACCCGAACCGCAGTTTTGGTGGGTTTGTGCACTCGCCATTAACTGCTGCGCTACCTCTCTCGCCCTTCTTGATAACTTGGCGGAAATATTTATTACCACGTTCCCCCTATTGATTCACGCTCAACCTCTGAGATTTTTCCTCACCCTCCCTCCCACCACGTTCACGACAGTTTCAGCTTTTACCTTCGCCATGGCCCCCGACCTCAACGATGGTAAGAGGCCAACCACTCAAGGTTTATGTATAACGGAAGAGATAGCGACCGCCGCTGTCGCTCTTTGTGAGCTCCTGCATCATCCTGACTCAGACCAAGACTTGCCTCAGGTCGACGAGACCGCCGATGGACTGCCTAACGACGTCAATACCGTCTATGGCGCTCATTGTCCAATGCCTGTTCCAGCTCATGGACCCAACCCCACTGCTCCAAGCAATGCCATACACCAGGAGAAGACGAAGACACACAAGAAGCCACCAAAAACGTGCAAGATGGTAGAGGCTTCTGGTCTGGATCCTGATGGCAATGAACTCACAGACACTGAAGACTATATCGATCTTCCAAGTCTCAGTCATAGTTGGCAGTTGAACCAGATCAAATGCTGTGCGCAAACTGTTGGCACTAGTTTGAGACAGTCCTGGCGTTGGGTTCCCGATATTGGCAGCCCGCACTTCAAGCATCAATTGCTCGCCGGAGCAGACAAGAGCCCTACCGGAATCATCTATGATCCGAACAACTTTCAAGTGGATTTGGCGCACATCGAGAGTATATGGTGGGCCGAGGAAACACTCAAGGTTGACATCGTTTTCCAGGACAGTGGCGAGCCGAGAGAAGACCTCTTGCTAGAGTTCAGGTGCAAAAACAACAGGGACCTGTTTCTGGGCTTTTGCCGTGCCCAGGCCATCTATCTGTACCGCACTGATGCGTGGGTCTCCTGTCCCTGCACAGATACGTAACGGCGATTCTGACAAGTCATCTTAGGGACATAATTGAGTCTGGTTGGGAGGTATATGAGTCCCGGGAGTTTATAAGGGCTACGGGAGTCTGGGGTGCGCCAGCGTGAGATTGAGCCAGGAGTTGGGGATGACGGTGGCGCACATGAGACTTCACACGAGCCATCACTGACAGAAACAAGAACCATTTCGGGTTCACTACAAATCTATAAAAGAAGACGTAATTACGAGACAACACGAACTGAAAGGAGATGCGATTAGGTTGCGGAGCGCGTAGAGGCTCTGCCAGCTGGGAGGCCTCGAGGTCAGCCCAGGGTACCTCATGGCAATACATATTCGACCCATCAAAACGCAGTCGCCAAATGGGCGATCTGGTGGTTTGGGTGATTGCTAAGAGGTTTCACTATTGCCCTCGAAATACCATAACCGCTAGGTACTGAGAGGTTCTTGATGGCTCTCCATGCCTATCTAGGGAAATAGGATGGCGGACTATACCAGATAGTCATCTTACTAGAATGCGTTTGCCCATTGACCATTGCTACGCAGAATTTGTGTCTGTTCATGTCATGCTTCTAAACGCGGGCGTCAGCCAGGCTGACGTGGAACGTCGTAGCAGGTGGACCTGTGATATGAACCCAGAAGCACAGATGCCACTGGACCAAAATGTCTAGTTGCTTACTGATTGGACAATGACAGTGGTCCCACCAACGTCCTCGGTGCTATTAACAGATGCAGGAGGCCAGGTAGTTTATACTATTCGCAGCGGATTGAGTCAGTCTCCTCCATTCGGAAGGGTTATAGACTTTAGAGCTTGTGTTCTTCCATCCATGTCGATTGCGTCTAATTGGGGCGCTAAGCGGACTTACTATGCACGAGGTTCTGTTACACCTCGCCACAATTTACCTTGGTGAAGGCTATTGTGACGCAGCCCAATAAAGAAAGCGACAGATCAGCTTGAGGATTTCTTTTATGAGGCAAACGATAAGCCGCGGCGACTCCCGAAGTGACAACGACGTTGTGGAATCTCTGCTTTTCAGCGATGTGTGGAAGCAGTGAGCTTACAATGTTTGGAACACTGTTGAAAGTTTAGGTTCTCTCGTTAGCACAGTGGCTAACTCCCAATAACCAGCGGCCTCTCTCGTTGTGCACCGCGTTGTGACAAGACTGACGTCATGCGGAATCGCCGTGGCTGGTAGAAAGCAACCTTTAGAGACTCTTAACCCCTCGCGAATCGCGCTTGTCAATGTCGTCATGGGATGCGACTGGTTGGTCTTTCCTTCAGGGTTGCGAGTAACAGGGCGTCATGATCCGATAACGATTGCTATCCTATGGATCGTAAACAACTGGCTGCAAATTTGACTGAGATCATTCGCACTTTGGCAGAATGGCGTCTTGTCGCACCCGATAGAATTATACGCAGTAATACAACATCATTGGCCTGCTGAAGATAATGCTGACAGAATACAGGTAGTCTAGTTTTTGCACCCACAATATTGTGCCCAGATCTACAAACCCCCTTTCCTGCGATTAACTCCATTTTTCCTCCCAATTTCAACAAGAGTCCTGCTTAGCACTGAAAGTGTGCAGGGCGATCATGACTTTGGCGGTGCGGTGCAGTGCATACACAAACAGAACAACCAGCATCCCTCACTTAGAGTTGATCAAGGCTTACCTGATCAGGGTGTAACTCTTGATCAGATCACTACCAGGCTGTTAAGTGAGGTGACTGCTCCCAAAACCTCCTGTTTCATCGCGATCAAGCTGTAAACTTGTCACAAAAGTTTCTGAGTAGTTCGGTCGAATATGAGTGGTTGATTGATCAAGTCAGGCTCGCCCGCCCACGATATATCTAGTCTTTGGTCCCGGTCAAGGCGCTTGTCTAATCGCAAAAACAGAAAAGGAAGAATCAGAGTCAGGCAACCCAGTATGGCCCTGATCATTATGACATGTCCAGCCCCATCTTGGAGGCTCGTGCTGCGAGATATTCATCGTACTTCGGCCGTAGCAAATGCATATCCTGCATCGAAGACCAGTCAACAGTATCTTCAGCTTCGTCTCGAAACTTCAATTCTTACCTGGCTAGAGGACTGGTTCAGTCGCCTCGACGAGCAAGCGAGATGACAACAACACGAGTGCCTTGAAAGCGTGTGCAAGGCCTTTGCGGACAACCACAGCGCTTTTGGGAGGTTATGAACTCCATATGGTCCATTGGGCATAACCACAAAGAACTCTAAAGGCAAGAGCTTCAAAAACTGGTCGTCGCCACATACTGACGCTCGTGATAGGCACAACTTGACCGTGGTTCCTCACGCCGACCGATCCGCCCGCTATACACCACCGCGATGCACCCGGTCACCTTCAAGGCCGCTATGCCCATGATACACAACGACAGTGTTCTCCCAGAAACGCTCTATGGCCCAAACCCTGCCCACTCGTCTTCGGGTTCTGTGGATGGATCAGGCAGCGTTTCGATAAGGAGCCTTACGTTTCTAAACGTCATAATGAAATCTTCCAAAGGATTTGTGTTGGTAGATGAACTGGGAGTGGGATCGGGCTTCGAGAAATGAGTCGGAGTCCTGGCAAACCTCGGACTCTGGAAAGTTGGGCAGCATGATGCCGGCGAGGGTCCAGATGCTTGAATGTGTTGATAGGATTTCGATCAAACATCTATGGTGTTGGGGAACACTGTTGAGTCTTCTCTCCTTTCCACTAATACCCCCAAGTGTCTGCGCCAACCACGCTCGATGGTAGGGCCCAGCACGACGATGACTGACGGGGCTCCGGGGTAAAAGCCGCCGCCGATGCTGATAGAAAAGCATCCAGCGTACTTGGAACCAGGGGAGTTTGGCGGAGAGATCAATCTTAGACAAGGGAGCAGAGAAGCCGAGGAGAACTTTAGATGAGCAGAAAAACAGAGGTAGTATCAGTCGAACTCCTTTCGTGACATAGGTCTCAGCGTCAATAACTGCGTAAATTGACGGAGCCTGATTCTAAGACTGAAATCGGGCGCCAGGATTTGGTGCCCACCGTATGACTAACTGTCAACAGTTACTCAAACGACTTCAGGCCTCAATCTTACATAGCATCCTTCACAAGCCATCACCACTCATCTGGAACACGTCTCCTTCCCTCATTCCCTGTTGGCCTTCTCGGCGCTGGCCCTCCCCCCTCCGCTCCACTACTGTCACTGCTGACTATCCGAATACCCGATGTTGGCTGTTGGGCGGTGAAATTGGCATCGGCGCTCATACTCCGCTTGGGACAGCTGGAATAATGATTCTCAGACATCTGTTGAATTGTTGCGTCTGAGTATGGACCGATCCACTGCGACGATCTGTTCGTCGACGATGCTTTCGTCGCAGTGAAAATGTGCACCCCAGCTGTCGTCACCACTTGATTGCTGTCGACATCTGCCGCAATTTTCCCAATGCTGTACGTTGTTTGTCCTGCAGCTTGGGAAGAGGCCACTTTGCAACCCTCTAGAATCTGTCTTAAACTTTCGAGGGTTGTCTGCAAGTGCGGTCTCTCGCGTTCGTTTCCAGGCGTTCCATCCGGTGGCAGAGACTCCAAGCGCTCTTGCACACGACCGATGGTTATAGAGATGTTATCTCGAATCTGCAGCAGTGCGTCGAACCGTCGTTGGCCGTCCATCGCAATCGCCGGAAATGGTTGTTGCGCTGGGGGTCTTCTTTCGTCTCCCAATGACTCAAGATAAGAAGTCGCATGGCCACAAATACGCAGGCATTTGAGCATATCGGACTTGATTCTTTCCTCATTGTATTGCAGGCCTATGGTCAGATTTTGAGTGGCATCCTTGATCTTCTCACGGAGATTTTCACAGGCTTTTTGAGTGACTTGAGAAGTACGCCTGTAATAATGGTTTAACCAAAAGCTGATCCATCCAAAGTAAAAGAAGAGTGACTGACATTTTAATTTCTCCGAGGACTACCAGGAATGTTGATTTGTATGCTGTCAGAGTGTGTATAAAATGATTGATGTTTCTCTTCATGAACTCCATTTTTTTCCAGTCTCGATTGTCATCCGTCTCCTTGGCAAACTCTTCCATAGAGCTCTCGAACTCACTGCATAGTTTGCTGCAATGAGTGACAAGATCTTCTGGAAGAGGCACCATTGACTCTTAGTCGGCAAGCTTTTGGAGATGTTCAAAGACAATGCCTAGATATTTGATCTCTTTCCATAGTTGACGTAAAGTTGGATCGCGACCCTTGAGTTGGTCAACGGTCTCGACTAGCGATGCTGTTGACGTAATGGCAGTAGTGATCTCCAAAGGACCCGACATGTTGAGAAACGGCACCCAAATTCCGTGATCGATCAGTTGTTTGGGGAGGATGCGGCAAAGAAAAAAAGAGGGAGAAGAAGAAAGAGTTGAAGACAGTATCTCAAGGCAGCGGGAGACACTAGTTCAAGTACTGGCGCCAGCCCGCTCCTTAGTACATCGAGGAAGTATGATTGGCGGGAGCTCGCCAATTCGGACAGCACCCTTGCGACCTCCCACTTTTATCGGTCTTGCAAGCAACACCCTCCTTCAGTGATTAGGGGCCTCGGAGACGCCTTCGCGCTGCGGCCGGCCACTGACTGTCGGGTTTCTTGAGCTGGCCATTGGTCAAACCTCGCCTACTGTGGCAACGGTGATCATCGCCTTCTGAACAGCCGCCGGGCACACTTTAGAACGGGAATATCCCAGCGGGGTCTATCCGAGGACAGAAACTCGGCCGACAATTCTGAGGCTACGGCGGATGAACCTCCCCGTTCCGCTAGCAGGGATCTCCTCACGGCTCCAAGTTGGTGGGGATCCCGTCACTGCTCTCCAACCTAGCCAACTAGCCCGGCGCTGGAGGGCGGCCCCCTGCGAGCCAGCCGTCCTCTGATCAAGGTGCAGCTCCAAGCGATACTCTGCGCGGGTCAGCCGTCGCATCAGGGGCGTCAGGGCCCAATCAGGACGAGGCACACGCGCTCGCCTTCTGTGCAGTGTCTGGACATCGGCGCACATCCTCATCCCGGTCCTGAGATCCGCACCATGGAAAAATATGCGTTTTGGCAGACGACTCGTCAAGGACTTCTGGGTAGGGCGAACTGACACGCCGTCTGGTTTGTTGCTGCTGCCTGCCACACAGACCTAGGCTCAGGACGGGTATCCCGCCGCACGACACAAGCCATCGCCACCCTATCCAAGTATTTGGACAGTCTTCTCAGCCCACTACCGCCGGCATGCTATCAACCAATCACAGAGCTGGACAAGCAAAGTCAGCCCCAATCGCAGTTCCCTTCCTTCTCGAACCAATGCAACACATAGGCGAAGAGGACCGCCTCCTTATCGCCGGTGTTCTTCAATACCGCCAGATGAAAACCATGTCCCCGAACGTCAGTGTGCACGACTCGCCCTACCGAGCATCTCCACTAGTGCCTCAGCTATTGGCTCGGATGCCTGCAGTTCTGTTGCTTCCGCGGGTCGTCGGCGCGTAACTAAGCGCCGGGACTTGGTGTTCACCCCGTTTCAACCCCGCCGGCGTGTCTTGTCTTGTCCTTGTGGATCTCCCACGTCTTTCCACGCTCTCGTTTCTCCTTGAGGCCCATGCACCGCTTACGGGCGTCCTTTCTTTCTTCTTCACGACAGCTAAGCGCCCAACCCTGGTCCTGCTGTTGGCACCGCAGTACCGCCGCCATCTTCGCCGGTTCCTAGAGGTACATGTCGCGAGGGTGGTCCACTTCCAAACGAAGAGCTCGCTCCACAAGCTGATGTAGCCAACTCGCGCGGTGCTCTCTAAGGGCATGTTCAGGGCCTGTCTTTTCTGGTGTGGGGCCGTCGCCGCACGGCCGAGACATACCAGTCAGTCCGTACCAGGATCCTCAAGCAGCTTTCTCCTCCACATCTTCGCCATGAAACGGAGGCCATCCTAGGAAAGACGTAGTCGTGTGGCGTCCGAAATTCGAGGGGCGGGTCACGTGGTTTCGCGAAGCAGCGGAACATGCTCCAGTCGCGCCACTTCCAACTCAATGCGACGACACAAAGCTCTCAAGTTTTTAGCCTGCTTCTACTGTCCAAAGTTTCACGTCCACCGTCTATCTCTTCGCGGCTAGAGGCAACAAAAAGTACGCACGTTCGATACCATAGTAAGCTGCCAAGTCGCGGAGGGTGGCCCAAATGGTTGGCCAACGCCTGGCAAGGCCTCCGACATGATCTTAGCTGCCGCCTCTCAAACCTCAGCTTTCCTGAGTCATACTGACTGCCTCTGCAAGGGTTGCGGCACCATGCAGCTAACAGCGATACTAGAAGTCCAATATGAGCTGATTGACTCGTACCATGTCATCAGGGCGATAGTGACGCAAGTCCCAGTAGAAAAAGTGGAAAGTCTCTTTCCAAATACAAACCACTGGCGGTGCCATTTCAACCTCGCTAGTGTTTGCCTCGTGACGTAGGAGAGCAGAGATGGAGTTAAACCATAGCCGTAAGGGCAGTGTATGTGGAAGAAGAGCCAGATTCAGTTCGATGGCATAATTTATAGGCATTGCTGGTGTCACGAGCAGGTCACAACAGTTGGCTGTGACTGGTGTTAGGGGTATCTGATGCAAGCAAGTGCGGGGAGCGATTTCGCCCCAACATCCCAACCTGGAATGTTTAGATTGACACACGTTCGTTTCGGTTGGGAAGTTTGTGAAGCAGTTCTCATACTTCAACAATTCCAGTAAGCACGGTTCAGGAAGTATGTAATGCCTAATTGTTGATACTCGTTACTAACCAGCACCACGAGATACCCGCGTCTCGGTCATGGAGCCCCTGGTCGTGAGTGAGTACTTCGAAACAGCGATAATCGATAAACCTCCACTGAAAAGGGGCTGTTTGGAGGCAAACCATTCTTCGAGCAGTCCAAATCCGCAAAGATACGCTCTCCGAAACATGCGGCCGCCAACCTTTCTGACTTCAGACAGACCGGTTTATTATCGAGACATGCCGGTCGAACTGGAGTTCGTTTCAGCGATTGGTGGCTTCTAGAGTTTAGCAGCAAGTATCTATTGCCAAGCTAACACTTTTCGAACACTTCCGGTTTCTTTTCGCCGTGGTCTGAAGACAACACTGGTTCGACAGCGTTTAACTAAAAGTTGGGTGGCCAAAAGGCTATCTACTCCGGTCTTTTTACCTTGGCATCACAAGATTTCATCGCAACAACTAATGACAACAGCCCGCCCCGGCTTGACTAATAAATGTATTCCTTATCGCCCTTCCTACGAACATCCACTTCTTAGGTTCGATCGCCGTTCTTGTGCAGTCATAATGCCCAGAAAGAAACCCGTCAAGCCCAAGGCAACAACAAGGACCTCCTTCAAGTATCCGTGTCTCCATAAAGATGTATCGAAAGCTGTGTCTGACGATCTTCCCTCAACGTGGTTCAACAACAAGGGCACCAAGGAAAGCTCCATCAATGAGTACTTGACCAAAGTGAAGGGCAGATTCGAATGCATCAATCCGAATTGTTCCAACACCGCCTGGACGAGCAAGACGGTAGCAATCGTGATCAGGGGGTATCGCAAGAATGGTTATGACGCTGTTGTATTCAACCAGCGCTGCATATCCTGCAAGGAGCTCGGCATCTTTACTCTTGATAAGCAATCCTACGTTGAACGAATCGCATACCGGCTTAAGAGGTGGGCAGGCGTAGAGACGGAGCAGCCGGTCTACGCTGGAAAAGACGGTCCCCCACACCAGGTCGATCTCTGTGAGGGTTGCAAACGGGGTTACTGTCAGAAGGGAAACCGTTTCGAGTTTTGAACTTGATTCGTTCAGGTTGAGAATGGAAAGTTCTGTGAGGTCAGATGTTGCAGAAGTACTAGAGGCTAATCCGGCCAAGCGTAGAGTGGGAAGGACGTATTCACCGCATCTCGCTGTGATGTGCTGTTCGTATTAAGACAAACCGCGGCGTATCAGTCAAAAAAGTATAAGTGCCTGTGGTTTGGTCCATTGTGATTGGTGACTCCCGCCCGAATTGAAAGGCGACCATGCTGCCAGGGTCAAAGGTTCGCTTCGAGTCTCCTCGACAGCCTTGAAGCGTATGATGTTGCAGCTCTCGCTCTCCAAGTGATTGAAGATTTGGATTGAAATATATTGAGGCGTGCGAAGCGACTCCCGCAAAGGGAACAATCGAAGATTTTGGTATCGGCATTCCAGGATTTCGATGTGGCCTCAAAACTGGCCAACATAGACCGCTCCACGTTTTGTCAACACGCCATTCGGACCACTGCGCTTGACCGCTTCGTAGACTTTTATCCGGTCTAGGGGCGCTTTCGAACGTGCACCTCTTTCAGGATGATGAAAACGCCGGCTGCAATCACGAATGAACCGAGACAGAAACGACAAGATGCGTTCTTACCCCAATCTGACACAAATGGCCGAGACGGGTCCATAGACGGGGAAGCCCCAGAGTTGAGGTTATTATACTATTTGATTGGCACAAGTGCTGGGCCGTGGTTCTGTCGCCACAGAAGTGGGTTTTAATGACGTTTCCAATATTGAACCCTTTTCAAACCGATGATTAACCTCTCTTCTGGATTCCAGACGTCAATGTCTTGCTCCTAGCCATTCTCCATGCCATCAAAGTGTGCAAGTCTTTGCATCGCCCGCTCAGATATCGGCCTAAGGACATGCTTCACCAAGAGAAAGAGGATCGCCATGTCTGAAAACACGGCGTCTAGTATGGATTTCAGAAACGCGACGCAGTCATCATCATGCTGCAGTCGTCTTGTTGCTCATCTATTGGGAAGGATTACACATTGTATTGGAGGCGGATCCCCTTGATACACAGGCGCAAATAGCAGCTGTAGTGAATCGTGTCGCAAAAGTAAACAAGCTCTAAAAACTATTCACTTGCAATGACTATCTTTATCGACATGAAACCACTGTTTGGCAATAAACCCTCCTGCTCAAGGAAGCTGCGACATCCTGTTGGTTCTTTGACCGACAGCGACAGATCCCGCATAGGCTGGGACGGTTTCGTTGAACTTTGAGCATCTGGACTCTGGTTCATTGACGGCTTGTCTGACGCTTAGCAGGCGACTGCTCTGCGAGTCGCGGCGGCGACGACGACGACGGCGACGTTGGTACGGCTCGCGCTCTCTCTCCGGCCACGGAGTCTGTGGCAACCCAAGCATCGGAGGAGCAGTGTTCAGATAAGGATACTTACTGGATTGACAGTGAACAGCAAAAGTGAGAAGCAGCCCCACCTCAATACAGAAACCAGCATACCGCACATCCAGCGAAGCAAACCTCGTCCCTGCTAAAAATCTTGGGTGTCACTAAGAGAAATCGTGTCACGAATGGGTGGAAAAATCGCTATTCGATGGACAAAAGCGCTGGGACGTCTTGGCGGCGGCTCTACTGCCACTCTTGTAACTCGGAAGTGCTCTCGATAACAACACGTCTGGTTCACCCGCAGGTGAGGCACCATCAATCAAGTATTTGTGGTATGCACTACTGGGGTGTCTACTATCCAACGTAAGGCTGAAAAGTGTGCCAGGTGCGAATAGATATGGCGATTCTCCCTGCATTGACTTGGCATGCTGTTTGCGCGCACGTTTTCAGCCAAAACCATCCCTGAAAGCTTCGTACAGCACCCTCCTCCCGGAGAGCACAGTTTCCATGTTGAAACCCGCAGCATCGCGCTAAGGATAGCTTACCTATGTCCGCTCGGTACTTCCATCTCGCATCAACCTTGTGGTTCCCTTGAACGTTTTTTTCTCGGTGTTAAACTGAGTTTGAGGTGCTGCATCACACCCCTTTGATCATGAAGCTTTAGTGTTGGAGGTGATGTTGAAGACGGTAAAGGCTAGGACTAGGGCTGTCTCAATCGCCTCTTACCATTGGGTGAGAAGGAAAGAACACAAAAGAACAGGAGTTTGACGGTCAAGGCTATAGATATGTGTCTGATTGAGATACATCTATCCATTTCAAATTCTTGCGTTTACCATCGAAAAACCAACTTCAGACCACGTAATCTAGTCGCGATGGCTCTCACTCCCCGAATGAATCCTTATGTGCGGCTGCTCTTCCGCTTATACGAGGCCCTTATTCTACTTTCGATTCTGCGGCCAGTGAACGGGTCACATCGTATCACACAGCTCAGCAACTACACCATTCAGGACGCCAGGAGGCGATTTCTCCGAAATTTGTGCTTCCTTTGCGACTACAAAAAAGGCGGCAGTAGCACCACTGCCATAGCTGTTGAGGAGCGTGAAGACTGCTACATCTTCTGGGTTTCCTCAAATGAGGGGCCTGAGACCGGTGTCACTCGTCACCTCAGTGATGTCCTTGCTCATGTACAGCGTTTTGCCAGGCACGCTGAGGATCGCATCATAATCGAAGGGACCTTGATGATCATGTGCACTGCGTTTGCTAAGTTGCGGCTCAGGCAGCTGATCAGGATTTTGCGCAATGCGGCTAAAAAGTGCCGAGTGTTTTTGGAAGGCGTTCAAGAGGAGCATTGTGGGTTCGATCCTCCAACTCTCATGCTAAGTTCCCGTAGACCACCTAACACGATCAGACAACGGCGTCATAGACTGGCTTCGAAGCTTCGAGAACGAAACTTCCTCTGATTTGTCTTTATGTCAGGCAGCATATCACGCCCGAAATGACGAAGAACTACGCCAGATCGAGCAACTTGGCCAGGAATCTGAAGACGACGCCGATGTGATGCAGACTGCCCCTGCCTTCCGCGCAGTCAAACATACAATCGGTCGTTTGGCAGCTTATTCCCGCGCTGTGTCTCAGCTTCTCGACGACGGAAGCCGTTTACGAAAACTTCTTATGGAAAATTGCGTCGTGGACAGTATCCAATGCCCAGCCAGCGCCCCGGTCCCAGAAGCTGACTCACATACGTCTTTGAGCGGTGTACTCAAACGCTTGCTCCCTGATCGAGACATTAGATATGAGCAGTATCTTGATGTTCTCACGCGCCTAGACGGTCAAGTTCGTATCGAGTCTAAGCTCCACGACAAGTTTGAACAAGGCGGCCTGAAGCCTACCGTACATGCCGAGATTCAGTTGCTGCAGCACTTCTACAGCGGAGGACGCCAGTACGTTGCTAAGGACAGATATATCGCGTGTAGCAAGCCTGCATGCATCTGCTGCGAGCTGTACTTCCGGCATCATCCCGCAAAAGTCTGCCTGCTCGACTCTCACCGAAAAGCGTACCCGAATTGGGGAGTATCAAGCCTTCTAGGAGGTACGGAGAACCCAGGTTGGACTATGCAACGCAACATAATCAATAGTGTAATAGGAGACCTGAAGACCATGGTCCTTGACCAGATTGCGGAGTTACGGATTTTGAGCCAAGATCACCATGATACACTGACCCAGGTAACGGAATCCCAGATCAGTATAGATGATGATTCAGATCCGGAATTAGAGACATTTAGAGTCATCGAAAAGGTCGACTTGGCTGGCAATCGTAAGCAAATGCCCTACGCTATCCAGGCAAAGCCATTTGTTGATTGGACTATTGCTGACCACAATAATCATAGGTCTGAGCTCAGACAATTTTGTTGGCCTACGAAGTCAGTCAATGGGTTTAGAAGACACCTCGGACGGTGAGGTGGAAACAGGAGATGGAGTTTCGCTGTTGTGAGGCTTCAAACGATTGGATTTGCTATGTAAACGAATGTATATAGTTGTTCTTATCCATCGTTTGTTTTTATTGTTCTCGATCCGCCCATTCCGACTTTGTTGACTACAGAGAATACGAGAAGTACTATCTCAAATTCAAAAAGACAGTGAAAAGATTGTCAGTCTCTTTTTGTCCTTTTCTTTCTTTTTCTTTTCTTTTTCTTGGTTTTCTTGTCTTGTAAAATTCATATCCCGTGCTAATCTTCTTCGAACGTGCCGGTTGAGGTTATACATTCTTGTGAAGGATATTCCGCATCTGCACACGAACCGAGGTTGTCTGAAATGCGTCCAGTAATGCTTTCTCATGTCCCTTTGGCATGCTGATCTAGTGGGACATACAGGACACAAAACGGGCTTATAGTGGGTTCTAAGATGTTTTCTGTTTACAAGTTCAGTACACCTTAGTTATCCCATGATAGACTATACGCAGTTCAACTTACCTCTGGTGGCTCCAGGTCGAAAATCTCCTTGTGCAACCAGGCCACGTACAATTTTGGATTCCATTTTGACATTTTTCGGCGTCACGTGGAGGTAATTCCTCTTCTTCAAAAGTTATCCGAATGTTTCACCGGCTTCATTTCGTCCTAAAAGAAGAAGCGCAAGTGGTGCGTCTGGGCTTCTCATTCCAACGAAAGAGTGTTCTGCCGTGCCTCTGACGTTACCCCCTCCTGGCTCGTTCATACCTGGCCCAACGGGCGGGTTCTGGGTGAGTCCCGAGTGCTCACTCTAAAGAGTATCCGAAGCATCGGTAAACCCAGAGCTTTCCCATAGAACAGAAAAACTGTCCATGGCTAGTCTCGTCGTTCCATCTGCAAACATGTCTGTATTGGAGCTCATAGGCGAGGCGGTTTTGGAAAAGACTGTAGGTGCGTGTTTTCCGCTGACTGTCTGACTTAAAACCTGTAGCTAAGACGTTTCCTCCTTTCTACCGAGTGCGTGCGGGTCATGCGGTACTATAAAGGATTAACCAGAGTCTTTTGCGGTAAAGGTTTCATACAGTTTTGGTCCATCACCTGAAGAATCTCGCAATGTGAATCTCTTCGATTCCTCTATCCTACGCATAGGCTCTTTAACGCCGAGATGACGTGGCTTAGCTCTTCTATTGGTTATTCCTTTGAACTCTAAGTCCCGAGTGGAAGGTTGGAAGTTGAGTTCAGTAGCGGGGTCATTGTTTATCTAATGTTTTTTGAGGTTGTGAAACTTTAATATCAGGCGGGAGGCCGTTCTTCATCATATGCGGGCGTGATGCCAATCGGGCCAGTATCCATCCCAAAATGATTGAAAACTGCCTATCCTACTCCGAAGACCACATCTAGCCCTCCGCGATAGAAGAGTTAAAATCTGAAGCAATTACGCGCAATTGAAGCACGACCATGTTATCAACTGTCAAAGAACTCAAAATTATAAAGTTCTGGGAATTAAGAGAAGCTTTGTATCATTCCATACCGGCACAAAGTGTGCCCTCAGCTCATTATACCCCCAACCTTTGCATAAGAGCAGGGCCATAAATAAGCTCCTGAACCAACCAACTCTAGCCCCAACCCTTACCCAGAGTAAACAATCTTTGTTTGCAGCACACTGCATGGTGTGACAGGACAGACGATGAAGCCTTAAGTTATCTCTGTACGGATCTTAGGCAGGAGGCCATCATCGCACGATATATTAGGTTTGACATCAGACAAAGGCAAGCAGTTCAGCAAGAGAGTGATTACATATCAGACTTGAAGTGATTGTACTTGAGGTCAGAGACCAGTACCGCAGTTATCCAACAATTGTTATCTCCCGATAATTCTCACTCCACTTTGGACTTCCTATAAACCTGACTCAATCTGGCCGAACGAGGAGCTTGCTATTGCCACCACATAGAGATTACCTCTGTTTCGTCACCCCATTCAAGCATGCATACACACTTCGCACTCAGTTTTAACTGGAACCACAAACAACTCGTTATTTATCTCGCAAACTTTTAGGTCTCACATTATATACCTCTTTGAATCTTCTCACCACTCAGAAATGGTGTGTTACGATGCCAACAACGAAACGTCCTGTCTTTTAATCCAACTGCAGCTCAAGAACCTGGACAGGAGGAAAAGAGCCAGCAAGGGAAAAAATAGGCAAGACGAAATTTCCGACGAAGGCCTTACTGCTGAGACTTACGAGTCTGAGCTAAAATCCCGTGTCCTCCTTGTCTCGGACACATGCATGTGTAAAAGCATGGCAAAGGCCAAGGAGCTCGACGGGTGTCTTATTTCCACTCTCGTAAATCAGGAGAAGCAGGCTGCACAAGACAGAGAAGTCGCCCTTCGTCTCAGCCGTGGAGGACAGGTCGATGAGGATTCCTCTACTGATGCCGCTCAGGAAAAGGCATCTGCAGATGCAGATGAAGAGTTATTAAGCACATTCAAATCCCTCTATGTATCTACAGATGGCTATGATGATCCCTCAGACCAGACCGAGTCATCGACATGGCCGGCATCCACAGGGCAAATAACGGAAACGGCCAAAGCAGTAAAGAGAGACAAGAGGAAATGTAGCAGTTGCTTTAGTAATTATGCTTCCACCGAAGTGGCACGCTGTCCCTGCAGCCACGAGTATTGTCGACACTGCCTACAAACTTTCTTTGAAACGTCACTCACAGATGAGTTTCTGTTCCCTCCAAGGTGCTGTGGAAAACGCATTCCTGCCAAAGATAACCAGCAGTTTCTCCCCTCAAAGTTGATTGAGGAATTCCAAGCTAAAGCGCTTGAACTCTCGACGCCCAACCGGACGTACTGCCATAAGCCAACGTGCTCGACATTCATACCGAAAGATTTCATTAAAGCCGATATCGCGTTTTGTCAACGATGTATGAACAGTACCTGTGTCATGTGCAAGGGCGCCGAGCATAAGGACCAAGACTGTGCCCAGGACATCTTGACTCAGGACCTACTCCAGATTGCCGCGGCAAACGGCTGGCAGCGATGCTTCTCTTGCCGAAGAATCGTAGAGCTAGAGCACGGATGCAATCACATAAGTAAGTCACATCACCCAGCATCTCTTGGTACACAAGGTAAGCTTACATTACTACATAGCCTGCCGGTGCAGAGCGCAGTTCTGCTACTTATGTGGCGACCGATGGAAGACTTGCGCCTGCCCGCAGTGGAACGAGGAGCGACTCTACGCTTGCGCTAATCCCACTATGAATCGAGATGCCAACACTCCTGTTATGAATCACGAGGGGAGGGTTCGAAGGGCAGGAAGAGAGGCGCACAGGCTGATCATCGACAGCCAGAACACGCACAATATACCGAGAAGCCACAGTGGCCCCTCGCACTGTAGAGAGTGCCACGACACGATGCCTCTATACATTAACGAATGCCCTAGATGCCATATTCGGTCTTGTCAGCGTCGTCAGTTCAATCAACTTTGGGCTACTCCGGTGGTTTTTGGTGTATCTGTGCTTTGAACATTTGATAGTCATGTCGACGAAAGGCCAGTCGGATACGCATGTTCCAAGAAGATGTACATGACACGCAACGCAATGCTTCGGATCAGTAGTTAGACAAGCTGTAGTGCAGTAAACACAAAGACGTACGCTGTTGTTGTGGGCTTCGGAACTAAATCAGAATATGCTTACGTCACCTGTGGGCCTCAAAGCAAAGTTTCGGTAATAATACCGCGTGGCTTATAACACATATAAAGCTATTGTGATAGCATAGGAAGCAGGTACAATCAGTTGAGTCGCCGAACTCGACATCCTCATCGACAGGTGTTCTTTCATCTGATACGTCGGTTCATTGGCGCAGACTTGGACGGGGTGAAACCTAACTATTGCCAACCAACGTCGGACTTGCCTTTCTGGTGGTAGTACATAACAAGATCATAAGTAAGCGAGCCTAGTTTTCTAAGCAGTACTTTAACTTGTTCCCGGATTTGGCCTGTTGTGGCTGAAGAGTTCGTAGGCAGCCTAGAGAAAGCTAGGAACAAGAGCCAGCTGGTAGAAATATCATAGGGCAGGTCCTGAAATATACTGTCAGGTTGAATATCGTCGAGCACTACGGCGGTTTCTTAGATCCTGATGCAGTTGCGCATAATCGCTGCTGCAATGTAACTCTAGCTTCGTGGCGGGGCGGATGGTATGCTGGCAAACATTCGAGTTATAAACGCTTGGCTAGTATCCTAGTGGGTGTGAATCAGTGACGTTCCGCGGCGAAGGCCGCGCCTTGTGCGGGGCCACATGCGAGGCCGCAAGAATAACCAGGCGGTGAGGAACCAGTGCGTCCTGCCCAGATGAGCTGTGGCAGATCAGCTGGCTCGAGGAGACGAGCCCGCAGTGCAGCTTGGCCTGCGACGTCACCCTTCTAGCCGCTGTCCAAAACAATTGATCATCCAAGTTGCCTGGATAGGGACACGGACGAGCACAGCGATAAGCTGTATTCTTTTTTAGGGCGGGGTCATCACCAAAGTGGGTACATGCCGGAACACGTGCGGGGGAGCAAAGTCGAAGGAGCGGTTTGTTGGCAGGTCTCCGTCCGAAGCAGTTGGTCCGCTTCGAGAACTGGGGTATTGCCGTGGGCTTCAACGATGGAAACCATGCAACCAACATCACCTGGCCCTTGAAAAAGAGGAGATTCGCAGGGCAACCGTCGATATCTTCCATCTCGTTAAAGACATCTTCAGTACCGCGGACACGCGCATGTAACGGTCGCTCCGCTCCACGCCGGGAGACACGGGCTCAGGCTCAGAGCATCTACTCACGCTTCTGGGAATGCTAGGCGAATTGAGGGGCGCAAAAGTGGTCTGGGCTACGGAAGTCAGATTCAAACGCACAAAGTAGGTATAACTATTGAAAAACCAAGTGAATATCGCCTTGTACGACTTAGTACCGTCAAACCCTGCGCAGGTTACGTGGGTGTTACTCCCTATGGTCACGTGAGTCAACACGCTCGGACCAGGGGCAGGTATTGAGATGGATCTTGAGGATGTCACGTCCATCATTATTACTGAGCAGACAGAATCGTATCAACTACATTCCCAGCTTGAAGATACGGGGAGCCTTTGCCACTTGGTCCGAAACGTCTCTTCGCGACCAGGGTTAGCCAAATGCGGCGAGACCTGCACGCGTGGCTATGCAGCCCCGATGAGCGGTACGATGACTCCTTGCAAATGCGTCGTCTTGCGGGCACCTGTTATTCACGTTCCTAGAATGGATTTGTCCAGGTTTTCCCGCCGGCACCAAGGTGCTCTGGACCCACGGCCCTGCGGGTATTGGCAAACACATTCTCTGCGCAACCATCATTGAGCATGTCACGAATACAATACAAACGCCCGTCGCCCGCGTCCTCTTCCTCTCGTCAGACACTGACAGGCGTGAGGGTCCCTTCTTGGCTGTGCGGTCATGGACCTCCCACGTCGTGACGCATCATCACCAATAGCCTGGTGTCCCCCCCCATACCAACATGTTTTGTCTCAACTCCCTTGGTCGACTGATCATTGGGGTAAGTCGAAACGTACTGTTACGGGACATTATTTGTTTGATCCAGATGATGATTCTGTTGCCTTGATGTTGGTTTTCTCCCTCGCAGTTTTCCAACATCGGTTTTGCAAATGCGGAGGCAGAGTCTGCGGTCAAGTTATAAAGCAACTAGGCATCCTTCACCGGAGACCCGTGAGTGCTGGCGATAATGAGTAAGACCAACATGTCACACTAACAAAATTGTATGAGTCCAACATCTGGGTCACTCAAACTGAATCCCTCCTTACCCCGGTTGATGCCTGGGTAGAGACGCCCTTCAACCATTTGCATGAGGTTGCAGGAGCATCTTTGACGATAGCCTGAGTAGAGTACACCAGACGAGCGAAAACTTTGCACCCACTCCTCAACTGCGGCTAGCTCATAGCCAAGGTAGGGTTCTTGTGGTGTCGGATCCAGGAGCTTGTAGTTGCACATGTTCTTGGTAAGGCTGCCAAGAAGAAAGGCAGAACAGTCAAACCCGCACCCCGCTGATCCTCTACACAACGACGCCAACAGGTTGCCAAGCACCTTGCACACAGCGTTGATCGCGTCCTGTCGGCGCCAGTCAATGGCTTCTGCTGAAGTTAGCAACGGAAGTTGTGGCAAAGAAGTCGCTTACCAATGAGACTTGGCGGGATGGGCAACTCGAGCGTTGGGACAGGGCCCTTGCTCTTTTGCACGGCTGTCTTGGTGACGGCCTTGAACACAGGGTCCTGCCGGAGAATGACAGAGATCGAGAGCCAAAGCACCAGCTCACGGTTGCACTCAGATGGAAGCTGTTTCTCCAGGGCTTCGACCCACATGTTTGAGAAGAACGCAATTGCGTCGTGACACTCGTAGTAGTCGATCATGACTGCAATCTTTGCTAGAGTCTCGAGATCTATGCGGCGGGGAATGTCTTTTGTTTTTGCGTGAATGATCTGCATCAAAAGAAGAAGAGCATCGACGTCCCAGTCCGACGCATCCAATTGGTAACGGCCATCTGGTCCGAGGGTTATAGCCTCCCTCCAAGGGCTATTGAACTGAGTATTGAAGTAGCGCGACGCCAGGGAAAGGTGCCGGGAGGAGAGAAGGAATGTAATCTCCGGTACCAATTCGACGTCGTCCTGGAGTGGTGTTGTATGTTTCGAGTGCCCGTCTGCGGAGGCATCAAATCCTGGGGGTACTGGCATCGTCGTTTGCTCCGAAGCGCCGACTAAAGGGGGTCCATTTGCAAGGGCCTCCGAATCCGTGACGGGTTCCGTGACGGTGGAGATGCCAGCGTCTAGACTTTGGTTTCTCTCCTGTGTCGCCATTTTCTTCATTTTTTTCGTCTGCTTTTTCTCTTTCTCTTTCTTCTTCATCTTTTTCCTTGCTTTCTTTTCTATTTTCTTGAACTTTTTTTCGTCTTCCAGCCATCTCTCATTCTTCTTTGAAGTGGAAATAGCGGCCCAGAAATTTTCATCTCCCTCGGGCTGTTGCTCGGCAGGGACGGAAAACACGGGCTGGTTACAAGTCGGCCAAGGAACCCCTATTCTATGATGACATTAGAGATCAAAACCCCGTCTCTTCAGGTCATGGGGCAAAAGTCAAAACCGCATATTCAGTCTGTGTATGCTGTTTCTCACAGACTCATCCCAATCAGCGAACGGCGCGTTTGGGTTCCGTAAAGTGAGCACAACGTCGCCATCTGCATCAAGCTTGTGGAAAGTCTCGTCGGGCATGGTGCTGTATTGCGCAAAGGCTTGTTGTTTGATTGCTTCGTCGATAGTTGGGCCTGCCAATGTCGAGTCTTGTCCTATTTATCTGCGGCGCAGCCTGCATGTTCCCAGTGGCGGGGTTGTTGGTCTCCCGCAGTCGTGGTGGCGGCTCAGCACTTTCCCATGATCCCTTGTGTTCTTTGTGGGATAGGTCTGACCTGCTGGTAGTGAAGGGCTGCGTACAGTACCTACTATGTCAGAAGTCTTTGCACATCAATAAGGATAAGCCAACGAAAAGCTACAGTGGGGTGGTGAGCCACAGGACCTCTGGTGGTGCACTGTGAAGTGACCCCAAGCTAACGGGTTCCCTCTGTGCCGTTGATTGGGTTAGGTATTGTTATTGCTGTGCAAACACTTCTGACCTAGTACTGTACGTGGACGGGGAGCAAACGCAGCTGAGTACAGCATGCGTCGCAATCTTCTCGTTTGTGGTACTTGGCCGCAGGATGGCACAGGTGCGATGGAACAGCAAAAGAAAGGTGGCGCCAACAAGCTCGGACCAACCACTGTGAGCAACTGAACTTGGACAAGCGGCAAAAACGGTGGAACCTGCTCATGAAGTACATGATGGTAGGGATGTCTCCATGCAGTGGTGCCTGAAAGACCTCTCTGATAGCCACCGATGGTGGAGCAGTGAAGGCCGTACATGCCGAGTTGCGACCAGACCAACGGCAGCCTGTGCTCGGCTGAGGGCGACATCTTGTTGGTAGTGGATGCGCTTGTAGCCTGCAGCAGCCGTGCAGCCGCGACGGGCTCCATTCCCCAAGTGTTTCCCTAGGCGCTAAGCTTACTGGGCCGAAGGAGCTGCTTCGCAAGCTTGACTCATAAGCTTCGTCTGGGTCAGAGAGGTTCCCAAACGGCTTATCGAATCAGAGGGGAGTATCGCCAGGTTCGGCTCCAGACCAGACAGATACACCATGATTATTGCGGAGGTTCGAAGTCGTGTGGCCAGGTAAGAAGCCGCTGCAAGCACGGCGGCATCGTCTCATGTCTCGTCCGAACCTATAAGCAGACCGGGAAGTGGTAGACTTTGGGCCCGACGTACTGGAACATCGCTGTCGGTTGTGTCACGTACTCGCGACAGCGTGACGCCTCTGCGGGACGTCACGTCGGCCTTCAGGCAAATAGAGACGCTGATAGTGTTATCCGCCACCAATCCACTCGAGACCGCGCAGTTGACATTGGTCCTTGACAAATAGCGAGCTTACGACTGCCCCAAGCGGCTCGCGTTCCCCGTCGATGCTGCCCTTCCACCGCCTTTGCTCAGGCGGTCTGCTTCAGCGACATCCAATTCAAAACACCGGAGCCCAATCTATTGAGGTGTCACCATCGGCAGCGAAACTTCAAGCGACTTTGAGACGTGGGCTGCCGTTATAGGCCACTTATGAAAATTGCAGTTTCATGCGATTCCACTCCTCACACGCTGTCACCGTAACAGTCGCTGCGACAGCACCCGCTTATCCTTTATTTTTGGCGGCTTCAGCAGCGCTAACATCATCCACCACTATCTTTCGCATCAACGAAGGCTCCCCATCAGGCGCAATCTCAACTGCTTCACCATAAGGTGGGCCTTCCTCTCTCTAGCCGACTTCGTTGATTTCCGTGATCTTGGCTTCCACTTTGGCCCGGAGATCCCGCGAGAAGTTCTTGATTTGGTCACGACTCTCTCTGTCATGGCGTCAGAAAAAGCAGCACATAGAAGTTGCATTCTTACCTCAAAAGCGCCTGGTTTTTCGTTAGGCGGGCCACATCAGAAGTGTCTGAGAGCCTGTTCTTTGCAAGTAATCTACTCATATCCTCCTTCCCTGCGGCTTCTCTGGCATCATCTGTCATGCACCAGTCTGCTACAGCGACGACCACATCCAATAAATAGAGGATCACAGTAATCGCTTCGACTGTGCAGCCATACTTCTGGTTTGACGGCAGACTACTCTTAGCTTCATCGAGGCGTATGCGGATATAGTTACAGAGGTTGACTTTCGTAGCGTCTGAGTCCATGGTATGGTCTGTGTAATGAATACAACCAACCGCTTGGAAAGCTTCGGTGTTGCGTCACGAAATGGCGGATGTGGACAGACGGGCGATAGAAGACCAACATCCATTTATACCACCAAAGCTAGCAATTGCATTTCTCGTTGCTCGCACCAAGAATCGGCTTTCAGGTGATGCGGCCAAGAGCAAGCACCCAGACCGACCAACACTCTTGGAGACGGAACTCTCCGCGATTGGCCAAAGAACGAGCCTTCCCAGTCGCACTACCCGCACCGGTGGAGGTTGATCTTGGGCTATGCATGATAGGCACAAAAGCAAGGTTCTCAATTGGAAGGTGGGTTGCTGCCTGTTCAGTGGGTAATGAGATTCGCCTACCTTCCCAGCGCCTTGGCTACATGAGTCACTGAGGCCACTTGGTCAGGTAAGGAAGTTGAGACGACCTCCCGCAAGTTCAAGGGTTCTTCAAAACACATTGCTTCTTGTCTCGGTCGACCTGACGTGAGACCCCAACAGGATGCAACAATGAGCAATTGTTTTATCTCATGATACTGACTCACAAACCCTGTCTGCCCTGCTTCGTATGTGATGACTGTCAGCATGCATATGCAAAAGTGCGATAACAGCGTTCAAGGCTACAAACCCCGCGCACTTCGATTCGCCCTGCGAGGCGCCACGCGGCGATCTGCAGGCCTTTTAACCGCCTACTCCAGGAAGAAAAGCCGCTGAAGGGAACAAAAAAGCAACCCTTCACCGGCTTAACTTATCACAGCAACCCACAACAACGGAGACTGCTGGTTTCACCGTTGGCGTCCCCGGGCTCGCTGGCCTCTTCAGCTCCTGTCTAGAGGGCGCTGACAATTTGCAATCGTAACCTTCAGCCCGGGCCGATGCCAAAAAAATTCCGTGTAATAAGTCAAGACACCTGAGAATAAGTAAATCTCATCAGCATAGGTCTGCCACCGTCCATATACCTTTGATGTCCTACGCTGAGAGTAGTTCTTCAACCCGTGCTACCGATTCGTCCAATAAGCCCACTGCTCAACATGGCCCCGGGGGATAAATCGGCCAAGTGGGGCTGCTGGCAGCTTCCGCATCTCCCCGTCCCGGTGCGGCACATAGAAGGGCTTATTAAGGAGCCCGGAGGTCCGGGCTTGGCTGGAGACTCATGGGGCCAGATCGTGCTCTAATTATCGCAACATTCAGCGTACAGTCGGTAGTATAGGCGATGGCAAGGTCTCACGCTCCCATCTGAACGAAGGGCATCGCGGTGTATCAGACACACTGGCGATACCACGGCCGAGGGCGGCCGAGAGCGGCCCAGGTACGACCTGAGAACGCAGCTCCCCCGCTGCCTTCTGGTTACCACCATGGGGCTACGGCCCACCGGAAACCCCGCACACAAACCCAGGTCCAGCTTCCCTTTCCTGCGACTCGTCTCCGATTCACAGCCGACCATGTCTTGCAGATTAGAGGCGCAGAGTAACAGCTAAACCGGCACGGCATGCACTAACGTGCAGCTCACATCGATACGCCAAGGCCCGAATTGGGATAAGGCTTATACACACTCTTCACGGCCAAGGTATGCGCTGAAGTACCCACATCGTACATCTTTGCCGCATCTCGGTCCTGAGCGCCGCACCACCGAAAGATGCGCGTGATATCCCATCAAGTGCGTATGAACCTCGTTTTTGCCAAGGGCGGGGTAGACCGATTCAATTCACCGACTAGAACTTCTGACCCAATGAAGAACTCAGAAAAGAACACTTTGGAGTGAAATTGGATACTAAAGTGGAGATCCTCATTCTTGGCAAGAATCAGGTCCATTCGCATTCGGTGGGATAGATAGAAACACTCGATGAAAGCAGGTAAAATTATGTCTTAGGAGATCGATCTTCGGCGACTTCCGCACGCCTGGCTTTCCATCGGCATTGATCCCACCGATTGCGCAATCAAGGCTGAAAGATATCTTGGTCTCCTTGGCATGTTGAGCGTCTCTGACCAGGTAGGTAGCAGGCTATTTACTACGTACTGTAGTCCGTGTTCCGCCACACAGCCCGACTCTGCCTCAGCAGTAACAAAACTTCCCTGCATTCTCTACCTGCTCAGTTGATGGGGGTAGTGCTTCAGGCTGCGCACGTGAGTCGCACTCCCTTTACGTGCCCTTTGCCAATCTCGATTTCGGCAATGCACCAGGGGACCAAGAGACATCTTAAAACGCCTACAGGGATGCGAGAGCCATTTTTAGGAAGCTCACAATAGCGCGCTTTGCTGCTGGGGAGTGAAAAAATGTAGACATCCCTCTGATTGTACGACATTGTTCCACACGCTTATACTGATTGGTCTCTTTACGAAAGAGCTACGCATGCCTCAGGCGCCGATGTTCCTTAATCCGCAAGATCACTAGAGAGCTGAATGACGATGACTGAATCCTGTCCATCGTCTCTCAGAGCTCCGCGATCGTCAACAACAGCACTCAATCACGGCATATACAAACGTAAGCCGCTAAGGCTGGACGTCAAATGATCTACTTCGTAAATCTCTTTACCGTATTTGCCTAAGATTTACTGTCTTGAAGCATTGACGAATATGAAGTCGTGGCCTTTCAGCTTCTATGGCCCTGTTGGGGACTTGTTAGTTTTACGTTCCATGGCCTACCCCTTTCGGAAAACCACTCAGCAACCCGTACCTGTATTGTAAACACTCGAGCCTTCTCCAAAACAAGACTTTGACCCTAGGCAAAACCTAGGCGATGCCGCCTCATACCCAGCACGGGCCACGAGTTTGTGCTATCCAAGTTTGTACCTCAAGCCTGCCCGGGCTTTCCCGTCTCGAAGCCGACCGACACACGTATCCATCCTCTCAAGCCACCGTGGCGTCCCCCTAGGTCTCAAAAACAGGGACTACTATGCCGGTGATGCCACGTTACATAGCAGAAGCTCTTCATCACGATATGCCAAACGTCCAGTCTTCAGTTACCACGCCTCCCCCCCAAATCGCAACCGGTGATGTCTTGCACATCAAAAACAAGCAGCAGCCGTCACAACGCCCATGAATCCAGCACCATGTTTTCCGTAAAACGTCCAGTCACAATGCGTAGTGTCTTCGGGACCGATTATGCCTCTAGCCCGTGGCTCAAAGCTAGAAGCATTGCTCAGTCTCAACATAAGACATGTTATATTTTATTTGGGTTTGAGGTCGCATAACACATATCTAGCAGGCCAAAAGGTACTACTTCAAATCTAGCAACAGGTGATATCTTATGTTGATCTGTCAATTTAACTATCTACTTTGATTTAACCATCTGCTTTAAGGGGGCCATCTTTATGCTGAACCATCTCTCGTCAGCTAGTCTAATTTGCAACCAAGTCCCAATGATGTCATATCATGACCCGTATACCTCATTGAGCTTGTCGATGTCGCGAAGGATTCTAATTGTGTACATCAGCGTATGAAGCTGGGCGGAATGTGGCCATTTTACTTACTGATCACGAAGGTCTGCGGAATCGGGGGTTGTGAAAGCTCGATGAAGGTTGAACTTGATACTGTACAATCGGATGCGGTCGTTCCACTCTTCGGCCGGCTCGTCGGGGGGGATCCGTTGTCGATACTCCCTGAGATATGGCCAATGCCACTCTAGTTCTTCGGTTTTGCAGCGCCATGCTCCGAGTTCGTACTCATTATGAGCATACAGCGATGCAAAGCCAAATAGAACTGGTGATCCTGTACTGGTGTTCACCCCCATGTTGTTTAGAAATAGGTTGCCGTGAACGAGACTTGGCTTAACAGATCGCCCGTTGGATTGTAGATTGCCAAGGAGACAGGGGACTGTCCGAACAAGCAGAGTCGCAAAACCAGGGTAACCATCGAGCCATGGACCATGAGCAGCAGTCTCAAGCTCAGAAAGGTGCTTCAGCATGTTGGCGAAGAACCTGGCCCAATTAGAGTCCCAGTCGACAAACTGGGGGACTTTGTCGCAGTACGTGCGAGTAGGAAACCCAAATTTGTCTTGAACTGGTGAGACACTGTTTCGGTGAATAAAGGCGATGCGGTCACACAGATCCTTTGGTGTAGGGGGCGACCTGTGTATGACGAGGAAATCCATGACGAGGAAGACGGGGCCGCTGGGGTATAAATTCGAGTCGCCACTTTCAAATGTCTCTTTCATGGCCCTTGGTCTTTCTCTCTCTCTTGGTCTTTTGAGCTCCGTCCCTGTCGAGCTCCGTCCCTGTCGAGCTCCGTCCCTGTCGAGCTCCGTCCCTGTCGAGCTCCGTCCCTGTCGAGCTCCGTCCCTGTCGAGCTCCGTCCCTGTCGAGCTCCGTCCCTGTCGAGCTCCGTCCCTGTCGAGCTCCGTCCCTGTCGAGCTCCGCAATTGCCCGCTCAGTTGCTGCTTCAATTCCTGGAATGCGGTCAAAGCAGTATGTTCTCCAACCAGTGACTCTTGCGCGGCAGCCGACGTGGCATACTATCAGGCGATAATCAGCTAATACATATGAATAAAGCATACGTTTTCGTACCTTGATGAAGTAATTTCTTTCTCCATGTGGTTCGCGCACAATGATGCGCCCTTTGATCGTCCAGGCTGAACTGTATGGTTTAGCGTCAACGATTTTTGACCCTGGTGGGAAAACTATGCCGCACAGTCATGTTAGTGTCTTGGCTATTTTCAGTAAGGACAGCTTTCGTACAAGCCATGATATCTTGGTCTATGACCATTCCACCGATTCTCAATGCCATGCGTGCGCGGATGGAAGGATGCTACGAAGCTGAACGTGGAGGGCAAAAAAAGTGTCGTTGATTTGGGCCAAACCACACTTTAAAATTTCACAGCGTAACATTCACCCAATCTTGGCGCAGGACGATGCCCTTGCTTCTGAGCTGATTACGCCTGTTTGATCCATTTATTCGGCGAATCATCGTGCTTGCAAGGTTGTTGGTGCCAGGGGCCATATTCCGAGCGCTTATCTCGCTGACACAGCCGGTATCTTCATGGGGTAACATCAAGTGATAAATGGAAAGCAAAGGCCTCCTCATCGTCGTTGGTTGTCACATCCTCGTTCACCCCTTTTCAACCTTCCTTACTTTACCAACTTTTGGAGCAAAATGTCGACATGTGCCGCCAATCGGAAAAGAACGCGCTGGGTATGGCGTTCCGACACAGATCAAAATCCTATCGGACTGCACAGTGTGTCTGAGCCCCAGGAAGGGCCTGTCTGTATGGATATTGTGTTTATACACGGGCTTGGCGGAAAAAGTCGGGACACGTGGACTGGAAAATCCAATCCAGCGTACTTCTGGCCGGGATCATTGAAGGAAAAGGACCCACTCCAGATGGCCCGCGTATGGACGTTCGGATATCAAGCAGACTTCAAGAGTCTATTCAAGAAGTCGGAGGCTGGGATTACCGAGTTCGCTCTGGATTTGCTTGACGACCTGAGAAACAAACTGCTCCAGGAAGAAAGACTCGCACCACTACTTGAAAAGCGCAAGAAAAGAGTTCCTCTCGTTTTTGTTGCCCACTCAATGGGCGGACTGGTTATCAAAGAGGTGGGTTCCTGAAGGCTCTCCTATGCCTCACTTACTAACCAAAGACAGGCGTACCTGAAAGGCATAGACGGCAATGAATATCAGGACATTGCGAAATCTATTTGTGCCATGTTTTTCTTGGGAACACCTCATCAAGGCTCAGCAGTTGCCGACACTTTGATTTGGTGGTTTGAAAGTCTAGGACGCGGGGTTGAGCCGTTCGTTAGTGCTTTGAAGCACAAGTCGCCTGAACTTTCCAGGATTAATCAGAAGTTTCTCAATGCGGCCGATAGGTTGTATATAACCTCATTTTATGAGACACTTACGACAAGGCTCGGACTATTTTCTAAGGTGGGTTGTCATTCTTTGTTGTGATGAAGCACATGTTGACATGGTAATAGATAATTGTTGATTTGAATTCGTCTACCTTGGGGTCGAGAAGGGAGATCAGGGTTCCCCTACACACTGATCATCGGAATATTGCCCGATACGCTAAACCAGCAGACCCAAATCTAGAAAAGATTGTACGAAGACTACGGCGATGTATGTATGCCTTTGGGCCATGGAAAAACAACACATGGGATGTGGAGCAGGACCAAAAGGTTGCTTTGATAGGCCAGTTTCTTGGGATTAAAGAACCACCCCAAGACGACTTGGCCTTCTTTCTGGATCAAGTGGCACCGGGGACATGCGACTGGCTCAAAAAAGACCACAGCTTCCTCGCTTGGAAAGGAAAACAGTCACGCAGCCCTCAGATTTTGTGGATCCATGGACTTCCTGGCTCTGGAAAGTCAGTTCTCGCTGCATATGCCATTCATTGCATTCAGAAAGATTACAAAATGCCCTGCTACTACTTCTTTTGCAGGGATAACGACTGCAGCAAGGCATTGATATCCTCGATCCTCCGGTCTATCGCCTTGCAGACAGCGAATGAGTCGCCTTACTTCTTCAATCATCTTGCAGCCCTCGCTCTCAGAGAAGATCATATCGAGCACGACTCGGCAGACGCGGTTTGGGATCAACTGTTCGCTAATGTGTTGCCGAATCTCGAAGAAGATTACGACGAACCGGTTTGCTGGATCATTGACGGGCTGGATGTATGCTCCTCCTGTGCGTCTCTCTTCGCCAAGGTCGCTTCTGGTAGCTGCTCCAAATTACCACTTCGGATTCTATTTGTCAGTCGATGGTCCGGAGATCTTTGCGCTGCTGCCAATCATTTCGGCGCAAGTGTAATTGACTTAGATGTGCTGCCGACTAGACAAGAATCCTTACGTTCATACGTGGAGTCACGACTGAGGAGCACACATCGCCACCTTCTGAGTCGGATTGTCAAAGATGCACAAGGGAACTTTTTGTGGACCAATTTAGTACTCGACGACCTCCTACATTGTTATACGGAAGGTTCCGTAACCACTGCAATGGATGAGTCACGTTCGTATTTCGAGGCCTCTTGGAAGACAATTTCTTCAAGGCTTGTAGCTCGCTGGAGGGGGGACGAGTGCCACGTAGCGAAAAGCATCCTTGTCTGGGCGACGTACGCGAAGTCGCCTCTCTCAGTCACAGAGCTTCAGACCGCTTTGAGGCTGCAGGGTCTGATCTTGCCTAGACAGTATGATGTGGCTCACCTCTGCGGGGCATTCATCAAGGCTAGGTCAGATTCACGGATTACGTTAAGCCATAGAACCGCACGGCAGTTCTTGACGGAGGCTTCCGACCATGAACTCTACCTTGACCCACATCAAGCCCATACAAAGCTTGCAGAGGTTTGCTTGCGGGCGATACTCGAGATGGGCGTAGAATCTCGAAGGACTTATGAAGCAGAGCCCTTTCGCAGCTATGCGATGGCTTCATGGGAACACCATATTTGCCGACTCAACGAAATTAAGACATTTGAATCTTTTTCTGACCGTACAGGCGAACAGCTACTGTCTGTACTTGAGGAGTTCCTTGTCGGAGGCTCCATGGTGAAGTGGATATGCTGGGCCGCCAAGAATAAACAGCCCAGTTTGATTGTATCCGCAGCAAACTCTCTGGCAATATGGCAATCGATGAGAGTACGGTCAACAATTGGTCACCGTGCGGATACCTTTGCGGGACTCTGGGCTGACGAGCTGCTAAGAATCCTTGGAAGATTCGGAGGCTGTCTCCTGAAGTACCCAACGGCGATCTATACCATCGTTCCACCCCTTTGCCCTGGGTCCTCGTTGCTTCGCACTCAAGCTAGATACACACACGGAGCACATCCATTTCGAGTCAGGGGTATCTTTCGTCGACACTGGGACGACCTGCTTGCAAAAGTTTCGGATCGACGAGGTTTCTCAAACGTGGCGTGTACGAAGCAGTACGTCGCGTTGTCTACGATGTCCGTCCTAGGAGAGGTCCTCATTTTCCCATCTCTGGGTCTATTTTCTAAGGCCATCATACAACACGGAGAGTTCATTCAGAAACTCCGATTCAGCAATTCGGGGACCATGCTGGCGACATACGGTACTCATGCCATCAAGATTTGGCAAATAGATGAAGCACACCCAACCTGGACCTTCAGCGCTCCTTCGGCCGTCACTATCTTGGACATGGCATTCAGTGAGGATGACACATCTGTTCTTACATGTGCTGAAGATGGTGATATTTGGCGTTACCCATTACTGGAGTCAACCCGTGTGGGTTTCTTGCTTGGATCAACGCTGGAGGAAACCCCTAACGCTGACTGGGAGCACCCTAGTGCGGCAGCTTTTAAGCTAGGAACCAACATGCTTGTAACCTCCTACAAGTATCTACCGATGTCAGTATGGATGCTTTCGAGCACTGATGTGACGAGGCGCTGGCGCCAGCCAATCTCGCGATTTCCGAGAGCTGAGGTGAAAAGCGTTTGCTGGACTACAGCTTCACAACTGGTATTGACTGTGCGGAGCAACGGATCAGCAATAAGTTGGGACCCCAGAAATCAACAAGAAGTCCAAATCGCTACTTCGGGAGTAGAAATACTGAAAAGCGATACATCAGGTTCGCTTCTTATCATTAGCGACGGCAAAGAATCCATTTCCATCCGAAACTCGGAAGACCTCTCACTTACTTGTGAGTTGAGAGGTGTTGGAGTACTCAAAGACATTGCATTGTGTCCTCAGGGGTATAGGTTATACGGTCTCCAAGGAGACACCTGTGGGATTTGGGGACCAATCTGCCTCGCTCGGCATTCATATCCCAGGAGGGCAGGTTTTGACGAAACTGCTGGAGAATATGAAACGACCCCACAAGAAGGTCCCTTGACAAACTCTGACACATCATCACTATGCTTACCTCCGGTAGAGGCTTTGACAATCGGATCGCGGTCAAAGTTCTACTGCACCGCCCATTCTCGTGGTCAGATAAGTATCTATGGGGCGGATGGAAATATGATACTTATGGAGCCCTCGTCTCATCCTCGCACCATCACTCATTTGGCTTGGAGTCATGATGAAATGTACCTTGCAGTACTAGATGACGAAGCGAGATTGTCTGTCAAGCTTTTCGAAGCTACGAAACTGCCGCGCCTCGAAGAGATCGCTCGAACGACTCTTAGCGGAGAGATTCGGGGTCTGCTCTTCAGCCAGGATGGTAACTACCTGCTTGTTTCTATTGGCTGTTCAATTATGCGCCTGTCGTGGAGAGACGGCATAGTAGCTTGTAGCTTCTCTGCAAGCAAGCCTTATCAATGGATGATCCATCCCAATGATCCAGACATGGTCTTGGGCTTTGGAACCCATGATTTTCGCATACTGCGGACGAGCAGTCTGGAACCGCAAGGATATTTCAACTTCAGTGAACAGCAGACTCACGTGGTAGCGAACTGTGCTGAGTTTATGCAAGGGGCTGTCGATGCTCAGGTGACGGATCTATTTTCTGAAGAAGATGGATCTCAGGTACTTGTGCGGGTTCGCCAGAGTAATCGACCGGAGAAGCTTTGGCTGTTCTACATTGACATCAACGAAGTGGACGCTGCATACCGTGCCCGCTCTCAAATGATACCTATCTCTATTATACACCGATCATACATGGAGCGGGTCTCTCAAGTATTGGGACTAACACAGCTTGACGACGTTGCAGAAAGTTGTGTTCCTGTCCCGGAGCGACAAACTGCTCTTGCATTTATCGACAAAGACGGCTTGCTCTGCACCTTGAATAGGACTGGGCTGATTAAAGATCATGCTTTCTTGAGCCCAGACTGGCTCGACCCGCGTTGTCTAGAATTAGCTAAGCTCGATTCGAATGGGTCTCTCGTTATTCCCAAAGATGGGCAAATTGGACTTTTTACTGGCGTGTTTCAGACATCGTTAGCATAGAAACGACCAAGCCTCCATCTTTGACAACTTATTTAATTGAGAGTAGAAATCTAACGCGAAGTTGGCTTAACTATATGACCGCTTTCGTGTAGGACGACCGGCCGCGTAAAGCGTCATCGTTTAAGAAGGCGTTCAGTCATAGCAGACTAGCTAGCAATAGCCTCACGGTTATCCTATGGCAAAACCCTTTTGTTACCCTATAGTTACCGACATAATGAAGAAGGTCGTACATAAAAAGAGAGGTATAAAACTACCTATTCGACAATCTCGAGAGGCTTATGATCCATGTCCAAAGTCGAGCCTTCACAACACTAACGCAGGTTGTGATTTTATATAGTAAATCATGTTAGGTATACGTATGTAACCCTGTTATGAGTCTACTTGTTGCTTTTCATCGACGCAAATGAAAACCGACCCTTTGCTGCATTTGTCAAAGGGCGATATGGATGCCTCTGATCTTTCTTAACTTGGTGTCCAAGCTTGGCTGGGGTAGATCTGTGGCCTATGTGGCTGTTGGCTGCTCAATGCTGAGGGCCAAGCGAAACGTTCTGCTGGCCTAGAGCTCCCTGGACTGTTTTCAACGGAACAGGGGCTCGGTCAGCGCCCTCAAGAGGGTCTTGACCAGTGTTCTCACAAAGCTTAGAACGGAGAACTCTTGGATGGCTGTCCATTCGAGGGCTTCCCTCCGCTATTGACCTTGGTGAAGGCCGCGAT